TATTGCTGGCATAATTATTTTAGACGCTAACAAGTGAGAGAGCATTTCTGCGAATGCTGGGAAGCGAATCTTGGTTGCTGACAACAGGGCCCCATTACTTTTTACATTCACCGCATGCAGGGCCATCATGTTCCATCTTCCTTCTTCTCATCCTTGTGAAAAAAACAAAAACAAAAACAAAAAACAAAAAACAAAAAAACCACCGAAAACAAGCCCTAAAAAACAAAGGACCCTAACCTAGAGAGTCTGGTCAGGTATCTGGATCACTCAGATGTTCAAGAACAGTTTTCTGTAGATATGCATGGTTAGCTTCCTTCTGATTAAATCTGTCGAATAAATACTGACATTTATGCTTTAGTTTGCCATCGTAAATGGCGCCAAGTTTATAAGAGGATAGGGGATGCCTGGGGATTCATTCAGAGTTTCTGTGTATCCCAGACCAGGAAGAACACACACACTTACACCCCCTTTGAAAACTGTATTTCAGGGAATGTGTGCATGTGTGTGTGTGTGTGTGTGTGTGTGTGTGTGTGTGTGTGTTAACTTTTGACATGTCCCTGTCTAAGGAGGACAGCTCTGAGGAGCTGAGCCTTTCCACTTCCCTCTGTGGGTTCCAGAGATTGAACTCAGGCCCTGAGATCTCTAGCACTTTTACCATCTGAATCACCCAGCCTGCCCCTTCTCTGGTATTTTGGGGGCAAGATAGCCCAGGCTAGCCTCAACTTCAACATTTTTCTACCTCAACCTCTCAGTGATGAGATCAGAGGAGTACACCACCACCCCTGGCCTTTCCCAGGAAGAATCTTTACACGGCTCCTGTGAATAGTTCTCTCGGTGTCTCCCATCTTTGTGATGCCACAGGAGAGGCCTTCAACGTCCATAAAAGACTGGTTTATTGGAACTGGATTGCAGAAAGCAGTTGTGTTCCTGGCTCCTGTGCTCTGTGTCCGCCTGACTCTGGCATTGTGTCACAATTTGAGACTTGGTCATCTCAAAGCCGGGCAGGCTGCTGGAGGACACGTGTTCTTAGTGTCAGCCCTGTTAGGAAAGGCACTTTGTTCATTGTGTGGATGTGACTATGCCCCGTGGGAACAATGAACAAGAAAGAAAAGGCCACCAGTCTTTGCAAGCCAATCTTGAGCTTCCTAATCAACTCTACATCATTGTTATATTCATACAAAGACTTCCCTGATGAGTCTACTGACTTTCCAGTAAAACTAACCAATTCATGAGGTTATCACTAAGCATATTTGAAGCAGACCTGGTTTCTGTTTAGTTGCCAGAATAAATTGTTGATCTTAGGGAATTATCAATGGGATCTATCTATCTACTATGCATGCATTTATCTATCTATCTATCTATCTATCTATCTATCTATCTATCTATCTAATTTATCTATCATCTATAGATAGGGTCTCAAGTAGCTCCAGGCTGGCTGCAAACTGGCTAAGTAGTCAAGGATGGCCTTGAACTTCTGATCCTTCTGCTCTTTTCTCCTAAGCTTGGTCATCACACCTGTTTAATGTAGTTTGAACCCAGGGTTTCATGCCTAGGAGTCAAAACTCTAACAACTTAGCTACCTTCTCAGTGTTAATAAGAATAATATGAAAAAGCGCAGCTCTGCCGGCAAAAAGTAATCCAATTAGGTCAAATCAAACCAAATCAAAATGCCCATTGTTTTATTAAGCATGATGCTCTCAGGTGGCCAAGGGCATGGCAGGAGACAGGAAAGCAGTGAGCCCATGAAGACCTGAAAACCACGTGTTATTCCTCTGGGAACCCACTTAAATACCCTGTGGGAGTGGTCCTGACTGCCCACCCTGGGGTCAGGACCTGGCATGCTGGGATTTGGAGTCCAGACCAAAGCAACTCCCAGGTCAGGGAGGCTGGGATGGATGCCAGGGGCTGGGGGCTATGCTCCAGACTTAACATTCAGCATTAGCTGAGTTTTATTTTTTATTTTATTTTGCTTTTCAGGGCAGGGTTTCTCTATGTAACCCTGATGTTGCCTTGGCTGTCTTAGAACTCACTCAGTAGACAAGGCTGGCCTCAAACTAGGAGATCTACCTGCCAAGTGCTGGATTAAAGACATGTACCACCACTGCTTGGTTATCTGATTTTTTTAAAATATTTTTTTCTGTAATGTTGGAAAATGGAATTTAAAAATTGGCATTATGGTTTAGTAAGGGTCATATCTTTCATTTGGTTCTTTTGGTCATCATGAGGAATCATTTTTTAAAAATTATGACTGATGGTCCTAAAAGTGTTTTTTTTTGGTTTGGTTGTCGCTTTGAGACACAGTCTTCTGTAGCCCAGGATGACCTTGAACTCACTAGGGACCTGACCATGACCCTGAAAGCCTCTACCTCCCAAGCGCTGGGATTCCAGGCCCGTGTCACCACACACTGCTTCTAAAATGCAAAGTCTCAAATGAAAGAAAGCGGCCTCGGATCCCAAACATCTAAAGTTGCAGCTTTAGGCAAAAACTTATCTTAGACTATGAAACCAGACTTTGTGCTGGAGGGAAACCCGAACACAAATTCTCTTCGGCAAACATTACCCTTTGTTCCTTGTCTATTCTGTGCCAAGTTACTAAACAAACAGAGGAACAAAAGCCATCTGGAGCGACCCGAGTGAACATCGGTGGGGTGACTCGGGCTGGTTTCTCTCCTACAAGCAGAGCAGACAGACACTTCATTCTGCACAGAATTAGAATTACTGAACTGTGCTCAAGAAGGCTAACATTATAAAACCAGCGTGTCTCCATTGCAGGGACAAAAGCCCTCAAAATGGCTGTCAAAACTGCATCTGTACCTACCGTGGAACAGACAGTCCCAACGTTTTCAAATGAGTTCTTTGTAACAAGCATGTTTAATGAGATTCATTTGGGGAATATTCAGCTCATGAAACGATTCCTGAGGAGCTGGGTTCAGAGACAAGGACTTTTGAGCTGCATCTATCTACTGGCTGACATTTTCAGTTGTGTACCACAAAGACATCCTGAAAACACACGTCTAAGACTGAACCACGAGCCAGCCATGATGGCTCGTGCCTGCATCCGCTGTGCTCACAGGGCTGTGGTGGGAGAATTGTGGTGAATCCAAGGCCCAGCATGGGCTATGGAGCAAGTTCCAGTCCAGCCTGGAACTCAGCCTGGAGTTCTCTCAAACACTGTATTAAGGAAAGAACGCTGAACAGTTTTTCCCCTGTTTACTTCCTACCCGTGTGTCCTACCATAGGAAATGGGCGATTATAACTCTATGACGGAAAGTATCAGGGGCCTCTTCTGGTTTAAGTGTGCAATGCCCTCACAGACTCAAATGTTTGAACACTTCATCTCCAGTAAGTGATGCTGATTTTAAAGGTAATGGAAGCTTTTTAGGGAGTGGAGCATCGCTAGGGGTTGTGGGCCACGGTCCTCAAGATTTGATAGCCAGGGCCCACTTCCTGTCTAGCTCTCCGCCATGTGTCCAGCTACCTCACATTCCTCCTGCCACACCTTCCCCACTGAGATAGACTGTGTCCCTTAAAACTGGAAGCCACAATAAACGCACCCTTTCTGAAATGGTTTCTTATGACGTGTTTAAACAAGTGGCTTATGCAGGGCCGAAAACTGGAGATGCAGCTGAGGAAGACTGGATAACTGTGGGGAATATGTGTGACTGTAGCCACACTGAGAGGTAGGGACAAGCGGATAGAAACAGGCTATGGACATCAAGAATACGGATCTGGGGAGATGGGTCCAGATGCACGCAGACGCGAGAGCCATCTACACAGGTGATGAACTGAAGGGAGACAAATGAGGTAGGGACGAGAGGAGGCAGGGACGCTTCACACACAGGACAGGCCGGTGTCTAGAACCTTCACTGATGAGTGTGAAGGAACCACTGGATTTGGTGACTGCTAAGCACTCCAGAGAGGGGCCAGGCGGAGCAAAGAATCGCAGCTGGAGCAAGCTGAGGCGGCCTCCACTCGGCCTGCTGCTGCCGGCCTGCTGCTGCTGCTTCTCCTCGTGCAAGGCGCTAATGCCCCTGGATTCCAGCTTCCTCCTCTTCACAACAACATTCCCGAGACAGAGTCATGCTGTCTAAGAAGATGAAGTAGACTCTTCCACGAGCGAAGGAATAAGGGAGCCACATGGTACGTGTTCCCTACCATTTCCACAGACATGTGGCTTAGAACCGACTCACCTCAAGAGGTCTCGCTGTAAAAGGGAAGACTCTTCAGAAACAGTCTGTCAGGGTTGGGGGCAGTGTTATCCAGGACAGGGTTTACAACAAAGACTTGCTTTGGGGTTTTCATTTTCATCCTGAAACACTAAGGAGGCACGGAAGGCCCCTGATGCTTGACTCTCGGCCACTTATTTTTCTTTCTAAAAAACTGGTCAGATAAGGCCATTTAAATGCTAATATGTAGCATTCTGACAGTGATTTTTGTTTTCACTTTAAAAAGTTTAAGTTTATGTGTATGTGTGTGACTGTGTGTGCAAATGACTGAGTGTGCAAGTGTACTACATGCATGCGGATGCCCACGGAGGCCAGAAAAGGATGTCAGATCCCTTGGACCTGGAGTTACAGGCGGTTTGATCTGTCATGTGGGTGCTGGAATCGAACCTGAGTCCTCTACTATAGCAGCAAAGCTCTTAACCGCTGAGCCATGTCTCCAGTTACATATTGACTTTTTAAAAGTAATTTTGTTTTTGCTTATGTGTGCACTATGTGTGTGTGTGTGTGTGTGTACTGGCATGCATATTCATGACGTACATGTAGAGACAGAGGACAAACTGCATATGTCAGCTCTCTCCTTTCAACACATGGTTCCTGGAGATCAAGCTCAGGGTGTCAGGTTTGACATTAGGCACCTCCATCCCGAGCCATCTCGCTGGCCCTGTAACCTTTTTTTTTTTTCTGGACAGTGTCTCACTTTGTATCCGGGAATGACCCCAAATAAATGAACCAACGAGCAAGCATGCAAGCAACAACCAACAAAACCACCCAGAATTCATCTCAGTATTTAAACAATTAGTTTTTACTTAGTTTAAGTTTACTGTTCAAAAATGATATTTACTAAAGCCACAACATTATTCGTAAGGACAGAACTTTTATAGCAAAACTTTGATACAAGAACATCAGTGATCTGAATACTATGTGGATATAGAAGCTATTCAAAAAATGAAAATGATAACGCAGAGGCCTTCATCGGCACAATCTAGGCGCTCCTACTGGTTCCGAAAGCGTTATGCTACAATATGACCCAAGAAACTGCAGCGTTCCCAGGGCCGTGCAGAGAAGATGCGGAGAAGCGTCACTGCTCACTTGAAAAAGCACAGACTACCAAGACTAAAGAAGCGGAGCGGAGCCAAACAACGACAGTGCAAGAAGCAATCGCCTGGCTCTCTGGCGTTCAGCCTGGCAAGCCTCGTGGATGGAAAAGGAGCTGGTCTCAAACAAGCATTAGAGACTGTATGGGGCACTGGCTAACACGAGCGACTTGGAAACTGGAAAGCAAAGGCTGAGCCATTCTCGGAGCAGAGCTGCAAGCAGTTAAAAAGCGCAATGAGGACCGCGTCCCCTCCCGCCCTCTGGCTTCAGGACGGGCAGACAAATAAGAGTTTTCAGGGGCTGCGGCGGGAAATATTTAAGGTGAAAAGTTAGAATTTCTTTTGTTTTTCTGTAATTGCAAAGGGTATATTGTCTTTCCCAGGACCAAGAAACCGAGTTTGGTCCTTGGAATTTCCTGCGTGTGTGTACATGTGTGTATAAAAACATGGACTAAAGTATTTATTCATGCTGACAGGACAGTCACACTGATAAAGGTGAACGTGTAAAAATGAAAAATAGAGTCATACTTTTCAGGGCACGAGACTATTTTATCATGTTAAGCTTGTCTAGAAGGTGAAAACACACATCGATTCTCTAAGGCTTCATGTTTCAACTAGCAGCTAAACCTAAGCGAAGACACGAGCAGGGATCTTACTTGTCAGTTACGGTGTTCAGGATACGACGGGAACAGAATTCCTTCTCCTTTAACTCTGGTGCGCTCATGTGGAATTAAAAATCACACACAATTCATGATCCAATGCTAAATATTTCAGAATGCCCACAAAAGCAAGCCAGGTAGGACACCGCTTCCACAGCACGGAACGGCGGGAGGCTGACATAGAGGCCGGGGCAAGGGTGACGTCTAGTTCCTAGCAGCTGCTTGCTTCTGCTTGTTTGCTAGAGGAGACTCAGGGAAGGACAGCTCCTGCAGGTTAGGCCATGATTTCTGCAGGTTCGGTAACCAGTTTGGATCCATCCCATACGGTCTTGAACTGCTCAGGAACTGGAAATTCTCTCTGGAAGAAGTCGAGAAGACAGAGTTATTTACGTGAAAGCTTCCTTTTGCAAACAGGTGGAAGGCTGACAGATGTCATCTGGTAGGTGAGAAAAACTGCATCAAATCCCAATCTACACCATTTGAGAGGTCCCAGTCACATGCAGACCCACGTGTTCTGTGACTGCATGCCGGGGTCGTCCTGACTGTATTTACAAAGAGCCAGGCTTGCTTTTAGAGACAGGTCTCACGCAGCCAGGCTAGCTTTGAACTCACTATGTACTTGAGTGAGGCTGACTTTCAACATCTGATCCTGAGTTTTGGGATTACAGGCATGGCCGAGGGTTAAGGTACCGCCGGAGGTAGAACCCAGGGCCTCATTCGTGGGAGGCAAATACTACAAGTGAGCTATACCCCGAGCCCAAAGTAGGCATTCTTTTTTTTAAATTTATTTGTTTCTTTATTAATTAATTAAAGATTTCTGTCTCTTTCCCACCGCCGCCTCCCTTTCCCTCTCCCTCCCCCAATCCAAAGTAGGCATTCTTACAAGAACCAGACACCAAACTCAGGTTATCTTCAAAGGCCTTATGAGCTTGGTGCTACTGAGATGCCACCTGCAGGGAGTGGAGGCTTGAGATGAGATGTTCAGCAACTGGCCCCGGATGGCAGCACCAATGAACAGAATGCCCAGTGTGTAAGTCCAGCCAGTCTCTCTTAGCCATTGTTCTCCATCAAACCTGAACATGCCCTCAATCATCCCATGATCTTATTAATTCTGATTCGGCAGGGCTGGGGAAGAGAGTAAGAAGCTCTGGTCATCAAACTCTCAGGGGACATCAGTGTGTGAATGGAGCCCAAACTTGTCTATTCTTTGAGACACTGTAGAAGTGTTCTTTGGGCATGAGAATACACCACACACACACACACACACACACACACACACACACACACACACACACTCACTCATGCCCCTCAGCTCTAGCTTCTCTATCTTCACTAGACTTCCTGTACAGTCTTGAGAAGTGATTTGTTTACTTATTTTGCTGCAGTAATGAAGGAATTCTAGAATGAGAGCTTCAATAGAAAAATCAAGTGATTTTTGATATGGGGTCTTACGCTGTGTAGCCCCAGCTGGCCTTGTACTCATGATTCTCCTACCTCAAGCTCCCAAGTACTAAGACTATAAATGCATGTCTTGGTCTTTAACCTACAGTAGAAATACCTTGAGTGATCTAAGGCACGTGTGCGCCTGGTATCACTTCTGGCACTCTTCTTCAAGTGTAGCCAAGGCCTTGGCTTTGTTCTCAGGTACGCTACAGACCTCAAGCTGGGCACCGAGTCCAGGGTCTACTGCATGCTAGGTGCATGCGCCATCATGAAGGGGCCTCTTTGATAGTAAGATGCTGCAGCATCAAAGACACAGATACAGCCCCCGCTCTTCTCTGGGAGGTTGGTTTCTATCAGTATGAAGCATGCCCACTGTCTGACATTCGAACACCCAAGGCAGGGTCTGCACTGCTCCCTCCCACCTCCGGCTGGAAAATGTGTGAAGAGGATCCAACAACTTGAGGGAGCAATGCCACTGACCCAAACAGGCAAGACTACATTTCAGTACAAAAGTTTAGGCTTTGATTATAGACATTCTTTAAGCTGCTGGGTCTCCATCTGGGCTCCATAATGGAATCCACCTGAACATCTTTAACAATTGCAGATGCCTGGTAGCAGGCTCAGAGACCAGCTCGAGTCTGAAGTGCTCACCCAAACCCCACTGCTTGTCTTAATTGGTACAGTTTCCCTACAGCTGAACGTTCTGCTTACATACCTACGAAGACCAGGGACGGCTCAGTATATAGATAGCCAGCTGTCCTACTCGGCTCCCCGTCTGTATTTGCGGAGAACCCAAGAGGGGATGCTTGTCTACCTTAAAGTCAGTCTCTGTACCCAAAGTGGTGAATCAATGCCCATTGTTTGCAAAATATCATGCCTGAAACTCAGATGAGGAACTCTAGGCTGCAGCATGTGGCATGTGTGGTAGAGCTGAAGAAAGCCTGGATGGGTGTGGATAATCTCTGCTTAAGAAAATCAACCTGTCTGTTGACTGCTCTTGAGAGAGCTGCTAACTGACCCATCTGGCTGGCATGGCCCCTCTCCGCAAGGCATGCTCGTTAAAGCTCTTGGTTTGCTGCCTCCTCCTGCCTCACACAGTTAGCATTCTCCATGTGCTTCTTCTTCTGCTTCCCTGCAGCAACAACCACAAACTGAGATGCCATACTTCAGACTCCAAAGAAACGGAATGTATTCAGTCTCACTCAGTTTTAACGTGTGAAGCTGTGGTTCTGAGAGAAGCTTCCTTTAGAAGCTGCTTCACTGGGGAGATGTGAAGAAAGGAAATTCTGGCTGAATTACTTGGGCTAGTGTTTCCAAATGAGGAATTCCATGGGCTGATAGTATAAGAATTTATTTGGGAGCCTGCTGAGAAACACGGTTCTGGGGCTGGGGATGTGGGCAAGGTGCTTGTCTGTCTAGGCAGGAGGACGTAAGTTTGGAGCCCCTAAACCCATCCATAAAGCAGATGCTATGTTGCACACCTGTGACGTTGTATGCCTGCAATCTAAGCCCTTCTCAGATGAGATGAAAGGAGGAGAGAGGATAACTCATAGAAGCTAGAACTGTGGCTTAGACAGTAGTGAACAAGAAACCCTGTCTCAAATAAAGTGGAAGGCAAGGACTGACATCTGACATTTTCCTCTGCCACGCGTGTCATGGCATGAGTGCATGCCGCCACAGCGGACATGAAGAACCCAGATTTCGAGCCCCACTGTGAGGCTCCTGAATCCAGCCCTAGGTTTTTCCAGGGTTTGGAGCCTACCTTTCTACCAAGCTTCCCAGCAGATCCTTATGTTAAGAGGATCATAACATTTTTGGCTTCAGAAGCAGGAAGGTGTACTTGTATTCCTTCTCCTCCCTTCCTCGCAACCCCCAAAGCATCTCTCCTCATTTGTTTACCTCCATCAGAGGAAAGGAAAACATTTAGTCCTACAGAAAAGGACCTCAGGCGCAAACAGCTGGCTCATTCCAGTAATGATTAGCAAAGAGTCTCCAGACACAAACGCAGGAGCCAACAGGAGAGGGGCCACACGGAAGGTGCTTCTCCATTTCCCTTACCGGCCTGTGAAGTTGTCTACAGATGACGCTACAGATGTTAGAGAGTAGCTGACGAGCCACTCTCCAAGAATGCTAATGTGACCGTGACATGTGACGTGTCTGGACAGGCTTTTGGAAGGTACTTACATAATCATCACCCTGAGGGATCAGGACATTCATCTCAGATGACTTGGCACTCACGATCTCACAGTCTAGCGCATCTTCACTGAGGTACAGGTGGCACCCTTCTGTCTTATTAATGGAAATTGTTGGCACTCTCCCCATTACCTGAAATAAGGGGGGCGGGGCGGAAGGGACCAAAGCAACAAAATAAAAATGAGCATGTACCCAAGCAGATACTCTCCTGAATTCCTCCAGCTATAGTGAGTTCAGCTAAACTAAGTTTTAGGACTCATGGGCAGTGTGCTCTCTCTCTCTCTGTCTATGAGCAGGATAGGTGTCATTTGGGGATACAATGAAAGGACTATACAAGACGGAATCCTAAACGCTCAGGGTCTCTTTCTTGAGATGAAATTAAGGGATTAATTTGGAAGCAGCAGCTAAATAAAACGTTCAGAAAAGCCTGGCAACCCGGTAAGTGACTCTGAAATGTGTATCTGATTTCACGATAAGAGAAACGGGATTCATTTGCTTTAAAATTTAAGTTTTGACAGTTATCTGTGAGCCTGGGGCTGAAACAAGTATGCACACAGGCGCTGCACAATAAGATTAATTTTGAACAGAAGCCAAGCAGATTGTTCCCAAACTCCAGAATAAGTAGGGGACTCTGTCATTCTTCTCCTGCAAGTCATTTGCTGAGTAAGAATCTTGGGGCTGAAGGTGAAGTTCAAATGAGAAAGGTGTCTAGGTATTTCAGAATGTATTCCTTTCAAGCTCAAACAGAGGGCATTCCCATAGATAACCAGGACCCTGTGCAAGAGGGGGCGGCGCTTTGTAGCCCTGTACTGTTTACAAATATCGAAGTCCGGTAAAAATGCAGACCAGTTTTGAATTTCTCCTCCAACAATCGGTTTCCAGACCTGCCCCCCCCCCAATGTCCACAGGGATATATGGTTCCCCCAAAGACCTTATTCTAACTCTAGAAGTTTTCTTCTTGTAATGCTAATTAAAGCAATAAAGACATCTCTCCTTTCAACCCAAAGAAAAGGCTAGTTTGCAAACCAAAGGGACAAATTGTGTCAGGGGTACAGGTGCCCTAGTGAATTCCTTGGGGTTGGGGTGGGGGGGCATCTAGCCAGGCCACCATGCTTCTCTCTTTCTCCTCTTTTTGCTCCATAGAAACTGGATACTGAGTTGGAATTGAACCCCAGGCCGAGAGAAAGGTAGAGAGAGCGGGGTAGCTCAAGGTCAGGTAAGTAAAAGCAGGGCTCTGCCTGAAATAAAATAGTGTGTGTGCATATGTGTATACATGTGTGTGTGCATGTTTATACACGTATGTGTTTTAAAATGTGCCGGTGGTCTTGTTTTGATGATTTCTAGACTTGCTTATGTTACAATGATGAAAAGCATTTAACTCCAGCCCCGAACACCACGAATCCCACTAGCCAAGCAAAGGGAAGCCCCACTGCCATGCGTCCTAGAGGGCTGACTTACGAGTATTATTTCTTCCTAACAACTTAAGAAATTTCCACTGACTATTGTTGTCTGCCTTCTCCAATCTGAATATTTTCCTAGACCATCTGGCCAAAAATAGATTTACTAGGCCAAATTACATGAACTTTAGCTTTTTTCTTTTTTATAAAATAACATGATCGTAGTGAAATATATACAGTAATTCACCCGTTTTAAGTGTAAAATTGGATGCTATTTCATAGATGTACAGAGTTGTGCTATCAGGACCACAAGCCACTTTTAGAAGAGTCCCATCATTCTAAAAGTATCGCTAATGGCCACTTCCAGGCGGTCCCGCCTCAGCCCCAGGCAGGCGACCTGATTTCTGCTTCGGTTGTGCCCAGGCCCTTTTGAAACAATTTAATGGGCACTTTAACTAGGTAATGGAACTCTCTTGGTTTGATCACCCAACATTTCAGTAAGTGTTCAATCAAACGTCTTTCTCTTGTCTCTGAATCGCTTCTTCTATTTCTCTACACGGGGAACCCGCGGCTCATCCGTCCAGAGGCCACTCTTCTCAGTGCAGGTTCACATCCTTAAAGATGGTACAGGAGTTTTCAGGCGTGGAAACAAAGAATAATAGATACACACACTTCCTGCAACAACTTTATCAGTGTTACATTTTGGCTTATTTCCTTTTCGGCGTTTTTGACAATTTCTTCCCTTCCCTTTCCTCCCTCCCTTCCTCCCTCCCTCCCTACCTTATATAGCCTAGGTTGGCCTTGAACTTGCAATGGGACCAAGGATGGCTTTGAATTCCTGCCTCTGCCTCCCAAGTGCTGCAAGCCCAGGTGTACACTGTTACACCGGGCTTTATTACGTTGGCTTGTTTATTGTTTGAACAGGGTCTCACTATGCAGCCCGGGCTAGCCTGGGATTTGCTATACAGATCAAGTTGGCCTCTAACTACAAGGAGTCCTCCTAAGCGCTGGGATTACAGGTGTGCAGCACGTACCCAACTTCTGTTCTGCTTTCCTCTTGAGAACCAAAGTCTTTCAGTATCACTGAAGTCCCCTGGGTGCTGTCTCCCACCTCCCTTTCCCTCTCCCTCCTTCTCATTGCTTCCCTCCCCATCGGTAACTACTCTCCTGGCTGTTCTGATAGTTGGCTTTTGGGTTTTGTTTATGATCTATCTTTTGGGTGAAACGTACAGGAGGGCACCTAGACCTGTCAGGCTTCATGTTGAACTGGTTTGCACACACTTGCTATATTTTAATGACTGGCTATATCACACAGCCCCTGCCATCCTGTAACTTCCTCTTTTGCTCAAGGGCTTTATTTGCCTGTTTTTAAAAATTCACCTGGTTTCTATGCCTGCACGTACAGTTCATTCATCTTAACTATTGACTAGTATTCAACTAGAAAGATTTGTTTATTCATTTGCCAGTTGATGCACACTTAGATATTTTTTTTTTATTGTTGCCATTACCATGACAGTACAAATCATGTGTTCTGTTTCCTCAGCCTGTGGCTAGAGCTTTACTGCATGGACATAAACACCCGATGACTCAGCCAGAGGCTATGGATGTGGAATTCAGTAGTACATGGTGCCAATTTGTCCTGCAGTGAGTGTGCCAGGCTCACTATGTCGCTAGGATGTATCGGGGACCCCAGTGTTCCACTTTCATGACAGCTCCCACATTGATATTTGAGCATACAGTCAGTCTTGCACGTACAGCTCCTTTACACGTTAGATCCAGTGGGCATAAACAACACCAGTTTCTTAAATGACAAGGTAAATATACAAATGTTATACATGCAATTTAATGAGTTCTAATTAAAAGCATGGATGTAGAGAAGCCCAGGAAAGAGAAAGATTTATAAAACTGAAATCTAATTTTGTCAGTCATCATGAGGAAACACCAGATTGTAAGGGGTAATTAACAATATGCCAATAGTATAATCAATGAGAAAAGTTGGACTTGGCCCAAAGTCAGAAGTCCTGTAGACTTTTGTATGTTGCAAAAGTCTATTTAATAAAGTAAGCATTATTAAAGGAGTACAGATTTTCTCTTGTTCCTGAAAATTCAATTCCAATCCTACTCCCTGGGTTGTTTTTCTGACTATCTACATTCTATACATGTCCCCCGCTTCTTCCTCAAGGCCATTTTCCACATAGCGGAAACTCCCTTTGGCAGGGGACTATTATTATTCTAGGGTCATCTCTCAATATCCTTTATCCATAGCAGCTGACTCATCCAATCGTGAGCTCAGCAACATTTATTGGGTGCATATGGTATTCAGGTGCTATATGTATTTAGAACTCCAAAGGTTGTATAGCTAGCTGGCTTTGATTTCTTTTTTTGATCTGTGGCTAGAACCCAGGGTCTTACGTGTGCTGCACGGTTGTTGCTGAGTTACGTCCCCAGCTCATTAGCCATCCCTAAGATGGAGATGGTAAGATGTGTGCTTTCAGTACAAAATAGGAGGGAAAAGAAAAAAAAGACAGACTAACGGTGATTCCCCAGAGAGACGACAATGGAGCTGTGTTTAGAAAGAACAGGAATCGGATGTTTTCTGGGTGGACATGAGGAATGAGCCCATTCTTCTGTCCCCTGCAGGAAGATGAGCGGCCCATGCAAAGCCATGACAGTACAGAGTATGGCTGTAGAGCCCACTCACCTGGATCTGAATGTCCTTGGAGTTGATCACTTCCACGATGCCCACGACATTATCAAACACCAGACCAAACTTCTTGCAATTATCTAAAAGGGAAAAGGGAAGCTCCAGTAAGCGCGCATAGCGTGCTTCTGTAGCACAGCTCATTACAGCAAACACACAGCCTTAGTTTCGCCTACCAACAGTGATGGAATTTATTTTCCCCTTTATCTGGAGAGTGGATTTTTCACATTTGAAAATATAAGCCACTTGTTTCAGCTCGGTCTCGGAGATGACAAGGTCATTCTTGTCCTCTTGGTATTCCTGAAAGGAAGGCAGACATGGATGTTAAACACAGACAGAAAGATAGAGGCTGAACCCACTCAGTGTGGACACTGCTGGAGGCTTCGACAGAATTCTTGCCTTCCAGTCTGCTTTCTTCCAGAACATTCTCCTTATAGAGAAACTTCCAGGTCTTAGCTGTCAATTGTAATTATGGAAGTGGGTGAACCACAGCTTACAAGTGGGTATCGGTTTGCCAAGAGTCAGACGTTAGCTGTCCTCCTAGGGGGCAGGGCTGGAGCAGGGGTGTGGTTGCTATGGAGACCTGGAGGCTAACAAGCCACTTGATGCTGCAGCAGACCCTGCTGTGTCCATCAGGAGATGGTACTGATGACATCCAAACAGTGGTCTAAGTTACAATGCCTACCCAGGCCCTGACAATTTTTCCAGGGATGTTGTTCCTTCATCTTTAAGACTCCAGCTAACATCCATATTCAAAGCATCTATGATCTGCTCACAGAATTAACCCTGAGAAGTGGGGGTGGCAGCACCTATGGCTAGGCATGAAATCAGTCCATCACCGCAAGGCACAGACTCCCAACACCACATGGTGATGGCTTCTCCCCTGTCTGATTAAAAGTTCCGGAAATCAGTAGTCACGTTCCTAGGAAGAAAGCACACTGACAGTGACTGGGGTAGAGGGTTAGAGTTCGGCAAGGTGAAGAGTCGTCTGAGGTGAATGCCGAGGCTGGAAATACAACAGTATAGATGTGCCCCACACCATAGGAATGTGTACGTAAAGGTGGTTAACGGTAAATGTCATTCACGCTTTTACCACATTTAAAGAACAGTTCTAGAAAGCAGAAGGAAAGAATTCACGGGAGCTACTGGAAAACAACCTGCAAGCCCGCGGAAGCACCTGGCTTCTCACTCTAGCCAGGGTTTTCTCATCATGGCACGTCACGTAGGAGTCCCCATGTCTTTGGGGCGTGGTTTTCGCTGCTTAGGTGTTTAGAGTCGGTTTTGGTCGCGTGAATCAGAGTAAACGCTAAAGGACCCGACTCACCACTCTCCATTTCTTCCCTTCCAGCTCGAACACCGGAGCGTGCTTCTGGGGAGAATTCGATTTTGGAGATGTAGGGCTTGGTGTGTGGGTTTTGGTTGGAGATCGAGTTTGTCCTTGAGCCCTCAGGCTGGGGTTCTTGTGTGTCTTCTGGTCGTCTGTGACATGCCGGAGCCCTAGGAAACGTGGGTGGTTAGTTTTAGTTGTCCACTTACCCTAACCTAGACTCGCCTGGGAAGAGAATCTCAACAAGAGACTGTCTAGATCAGGTTGGCCTGTGGACGTGTCTGTGGGGGTTGTCTTGATTGCCTCAGTTGATGCGGGAACAGCCTAAAAATGGGCGACACCAAAACCATGCCCCGGTTTTGGACTTTGTACTATAAAAGAGTAGAGAAAACCAGCTGAATACCAAGCACAAGTGTGATTATTCTCTCTCTCCTCTTGACAAGGATGTGACTAGTTGCTTCAAGTTCCTGCCTTGACTATCCCACATTGGGGGACTGTAACCTGGGCTCCAAAGAAATTTCCCTCCCATTACTGAGAACTCAAGAACAATGGCACTGGGTTTTGATCCTACTGCACGTACTGGCTTTGTGGTAGCCTAGGTAGTTTGGATGCTCACCTAACTAGACCCGGAAAGAGGTGGGTGGCCCTTGGACTTCCCACAGGACAGGGAACCCTGATTGCTCTTCGGGCTGATGAGGGAGGGGGACTTGATTGGGGGAGGGGGAGGGAAATAGGAGGTGGTGGCGGGGAGGAGGCAGAAATCTTAAATAAATAAATAAATAAATAAATAAACAAACAAACATTTCCTTCCCTTAGAGTCACTGACATCAGGGTATTTTATAATAGCGATATATAACAGAATAATAGAATAGAAATCAATAGAAAAGAAACTAAAACAGAAAGCGGTACAGTGAAGATAAATGACCCCCCCCCGTCTCCCCCCACAAAAAGTAAACAAAAATTCCGACAAACCCTCAAGCCATCTTACCCCCAAAGGGTTCTTGGCTTACTCATAGCCAACTAATTTGCTAGGTATAGTTTAAAAGGCTATGATACCCCAGTAAGTAGTTCTTAGAATCCGGAAGCAGCTTTAGAGTTAGAAGTCCATTCCTTTGCTTTGCAAGTGAGTTTCAGAAGGATCAGCAGAGTAGGTCCGAGCCAGGGATAAATCAGGAAAGTTTGAGTTCTCAGCTCTCAGCCCCATCCACACCCTCAAACCTATTAGTTGGGCACGGGGGAGGGGGATGGGAAATACCTGCAACACACCTTTTGGTAATGTGACTGTTGTTTAGCATACATGTACTTTTCATCCTGATACATTTTAAGGATTTGCATCGGAAAAAAAATCAACTAATTGCCATATTGCAGGACAGGAGTACCATTCACCAATTTTATTTCATTTGGTCTTGATGACTTAGTTTTGGAGGATGGTGGGGAAGCACTGGAGCTAAGGAGGGACCACTCATTGGTCAACTGAGAACACAGAGTCTCTGAGTTCTTCTTGCTGGTCCATGTGGTAGCCCATGGAGCCTATGTCCTGGAGTGCCCACCTCCCAAAGGCAACTCTTTCTCCCTGCGTCTTAATGAGGGTGCAGTGATGTGCATTTTATGGGGGCCCTAGAGAACCCAAGTCTAGAGCCAGAGGAAGAGGGAGCCAGCTTCGAGGACCTGCGTTCTTACCTTTTGTGATGGCTTCTCCCTGGTTAAGCTGGGCGAATAAAGCTGAGCGGGAAGGAGAAGACTCCTCACTTTTACCCTCATTCTCAAAGAGTGGAGGTGGCCCAGGAGGAGGCGGTGGTGGCGGTGGTGGTGGGAGACCAGGCCCAGAGGAGAGGACGGAAAACACGGATGCTGTGGATGCTACAGGACCCTGTGGGAGACAGATGATGGGAGCTTGGCTGAGACTGAAGGTCTGGCTGGGATTCTGTCCGGGGGTCAAGACTCTCCGACCGGGTCCCAGTGGCAGAACCAAGCATGGCAAGCCTGTATGAAGGGCCATGGATCAGGGTGGGATCTGTGTTGGAAGCGTACAGTCTGTTGGGTTGGGTGGGCTTTGCATATGTAGGAATCCCACCACTAGGTCATCAGCAGACGTCCACAGTCCCAAATTCATGTGCAAGGCTCTGGATAAAAATGGAACCAGCATTGACTACAAAATGGTGAGAAAAGGTGGTTCAAAGGATAAGAAAATTAACTTTTTTTTTTTTTTTTTTTTTTTTTTTGTGGACAGTGGAAACTACAACCACTAAAGAGAAAGAGAGAGAGTTATCAGACATTTTTTGAGCACTTCTGAGCAGGTAAAGAGACACTAAAATTCTCTGGAACTTGCTTCATGAATACGCATGCCTCAACAAAGGATAAGAAAATTAACTTTTTTTTTTTTTTTTTTTTTTTTTTGTGGACAGTGGAAACTACAACCACTAAAGAGAAAGAGAGAGAGTTATCAGACATTTTTTGAGCACTTCTGAGCAGGTAAAGAGACACTAAAATTCTCTGGAACTTGCTTCATGAATACGCATGCCTCAAACAAGGACAAACAAATTGCCATCTATGACTTGGGTGACTGGCAGATCCAGAGGCACCTGGGACCCTCCGACAGCTCTGCAAATGTCAAGGTTCACAGACCAACAGCCATCAGAACCTTAGCCAAGGCCAGCATGCATGCTCACTTTCTCTGTTGTGGGGCAAGCAGTCTGCAGGTCAAAGGTCTAAGAAATCCAAACGGCAGGACCAGGAGACACAGAAGTGGGGGCTTCCTGTCATGGCGATGGATGCTCATCTTCATCGATGCGCTATAGAATCACTATGGCAACACACCTCTGACTGTCCTGGAGGGTACTTCCAGCAAGATTTAGCTGAGGAGGGAACACCAACCCTAAGGATTGGCCACACAGGTCCATGGGTTGGGGTCTGGATTGAATGAAGAGGAGCTGAGCACCAACGTCCTTCCTCTTTCCGCCTCCTCCCAACTACGATACAATGTGACTTCCCACTGCCATGCGTTCCCCTCTGTCGTGGGCTGTGTCCTCAAACTGGGAGCCATAGTAGCCCCTCCTCCCTTAAGCTGCTTCCTGTCAGGTCTTTGATCACAACAACGAGAAAAGTAACTAATGTAGACCCCTTGATGATATTCTCAGAGGACTTTGTTGTTTTGTTTGTTTTTTTCCAGATAGGGTTTCTCTGTGTAGCCCTGGCTGTCCTGGAGCTCACTTTGTAGACCAGGCTGGCCTCGAACTCATAGAGATCTGCCTGCCTCTGCCTCCTGAGTGCTGGGATTAAAGGTGTGCACCACCATGCCTGGCCTCAGGGGACTTAAACCCAGTTGGACAGAAACTTAAATAGACAATAACTTAAGAAGTGTATCCCATTATATTTTTAATGTCGTAGTTACTATTCTATTGTTGTGAAGGGACAGTATGGACAAGAAAAGACTTAGGAAAGTCTTTAATTGGGGATTTGCTTACAGTTTCAGAGGGTAAGTCCATGTCAATCATGGTGGGGAGCCTGGCGGCAGGTGGGTAGGCATGGTGCTGGAGCAGCAGCTGAGAGCTATATCCTGATCCACAGGCAGCGGGCAGAGAGAGTGAGGCCAGGCCTGCTGCCATGGGCTCCTGAAATCTCAAAGCCCAGCTCCAGTGACATACCTCCTACTAAACAGGAGGAGGCCATGCCTACCAATCCTTCCTAAACAGTTACCCACTGGCAACCAGGGATTTAGATGTCTGAGTTTATGGGGGCCATTCTCATTTAAACCACCACATTTAATACATACCTTTCTTATTTATGTGAATATATATATATATATACATATATATATATATCTGTTTGGGTATATGTAATAGTGTGTGGTTTATCTACTGATACAAGCTTCCTTGAATCTGGAGTTACAGTCAGTAATTCCTGACATGGGAGCTAGGAATTGAACTCGGGTCTGGAAGAGCATCAAGTGCTCTTATGTACGGAGAATCTTTGTAAATACTGACATATGGCTATATACCTATGAAAAGGAATTAGAAGCCAATTAAATTTCCAAGAGGCAGAGCCAGGGGTAGTGGAACACGTCAAGAATTTCGTTACTCAGGATCTGAGGCAGGAGAATGACTAGGTTCAGACAACCCTGGGCTTACTATATGGAGCTAAGTTTGGACCACACAGTGAAGCCCTGTCTCAAAATCAGCTGTGATGGAGGACTAAGAAATCGGGAAAGACAGAACAGTGTGTGTGTTTTCAATACCAAAACACAAAACTTGAAACATTATGTAAGCTCCAAATGCTAATGAGAACAGCATAATATCATTTTCATAAACAACTTGGTATTATGAGATGTCAAAGTCAGGAAGTTTTAATCCTCGGTCGTCTCTTAAGGCAGCTAATTTTGAGTTCTTACATAATCTCTACTCAGCACAGAACGGCTGGGAGGAGAGAAGCTTCTCCTCTCATTCAGAACAAGTGTCTGAGCCTCAGCAGGCTGAAGCCTCCTCTTCAGAGCTGGGATTTGCAGCACTTTTGCTTTCGCTGTTTCCTGAGGAGGAACACCCCGACTCGGTCAGGATTCTGGGATCCAGCAGAAAAGGATTTCACAGCTCCTGAGAGCAGCCAGTTTTTCCTCCCCCAGGATCCGAAAGGATTCCTATCATGCTACTGAGGTGAAAGCCGAGGAAAGGATTCGCAGGACAAGCTTTTCGCATCAAACCCTATCCCAGGCCTTGGTGAGAGACACCGAGAGCCACGAAATATTACTCTCTCAAAACCGTGTCATAATTCCTGCAGTCAGTGGGGGAGCAGCCCCTCCCCCAACCTCTGAAAACTTGAGCTTTGCAGGGCTCCTGTTTTGTGAGAAAGGAAGCCGGCCCTGCCTTAGAAACACATCTCTCTTAAGTCTCCGAGCCCGAGAGCCGGGAGGAGACACAGCAGCAACAACAATAACAAACCGCATCCCCATCTTCTGGGGACGCTGACACATTCATGCGGTTTGCCCGGTGACAGCGGACAGAGGGTTGACAGAGATGAATGTGGAAAATAAGAATCTCCCGAATCAAGGACGCCTGGGGCTTGTGAGATGCTGCCTTGGACGTGCCCTTCTGAGGTGCAGCCTCATTTCCACATCATTCGCTGGGTATCAGGCTCTGGTTTCCAAGGTTACTTTGCAATTAGCATGCAGGGGCTTTACTCAACAGTGGACTTGAAACCAAACTGATTAGGCCTTCCCTGAATTCAATCTCTTCAGGCTGCCCCCGAAGCCCGGGAGGGGAGGAACTTATCTTCGCTGGCCTTCTCTTTCTGTGCCATTACAGACCACAGCGCTTTCTATGCCCTCCTATAACCTGGCATCCAGTGGGCAGTAGCCAGTAAGACATCCCACACGATGCCCGAAAGGAGAGAGGAAGCCGGCTGGGGAACGGGGGTTGAGGAAGGACTCTCAGGTGTCAAAGGTTTTCAGTCAGGACTCAACTGCACCAGGGCTCATATGCCAGCTCCACCAGCTCCATGCCAGGGCTCTCATCTATTATAATGGTTGAAGTACCTACAGATCTGTTAAAACCTCCTGAGCCCAGGCTGTGTGGCAGAAACACTAGCTGGGGAATGAAAGCAGGGTACGCTATACACTCCTGTGTGTGTGTGCGCCCACCGCTCTATCTGAGTGCAGTGTGGGAATAAGTGTGGGAACAACCACCCTGTCCGATGGACTGAGATGAACCTTAAATAGGACAATGTCACCTGGGCTGTACTGAAACCCCTCTGGCAGAAAAAAAAAGCAGGAACTCTGAAAAGCCGTTTGTATTCAATAACAAACTAGCAGCCAGGGCCAGAGGCATAATTCTTGCATATGTCTGTTGATTTTAAAGCCTTCTTTCAGAAATCATTTTTTTATATCCAGATTTTTTTTTTCAGAGTCAGGGTCTCGTGTAGCCCGTGTTGGTCTGGAACTCACAAGATTGCCGAGGATGACCTTGAGCTCTTGATCCTTCTGCCTCCACCTTCTGTGATCTGGAATTAGAAGTGTTCACCACCACATCCAGCTTTATTAACAAAAAATTACACTTACTTATTCATGCATGTGCTCATGTTTGCCATGTGGCTCGTGTGGAAGTCTGGAGACAACTTATAGGAGTGGGTTCTTTCCAGCTACTGTCACGGGGAGTCCTGGGAACAGAACCCAGTGTCAGGCTTGGCAACCCGATGAGCCATTTTACCACTCTAGGGTTTGTTTGTTTAAAGTCACTGGTCCACAAGAAGTTGGGAGGGGATGGGGGAGATAAAGGGTGAGCCTGGGAGAAGTTATGGAGAGGAGTGGTGGTGGTGCGGAGTGAATATGATCAAAATACATTGCAAGCATGTATAAAATTCTCAAACGACTAATACAAATATTATATTAAAAAGTAAAGACCAGGGGCATGGATTACCTTATGAAATAGCATTTTTGATGGGTTTCCGCTTAGAATACATAAGTATCGGGAGGAACAATAGCCTTGACTTAGTTTTTTTTGAGACAGGGTCATGCTATGTAGCCCAGGCTAGCCTCATCCTCTTACTCTTCCCTCAGTCCTCCTAGTACAAGGGTCATTGGTGCATGTCACTGTGCCTCATGGGCCTTTCACGGCATGGAATGGTCTTCGTTTGCCGGGGTGGGGGGAGATTAGGACCTCTTGGTTCTGGCACTGGCACTGCAGAATCAAGTCATCTTCCACACTGGTCTTGCCATGCTTTAGGATTCTGCTGGAAAACCTGGCCTCTTGCTCAGTTATCTCTTTCCCCACTGATTACAGGAATGACACACTTGCACCCAGACCCTGGTTCCCAGTGGAGTACTCAAGTTGTTCTGGGATGAGGTCTTTCTTGATGTCCTAGAGACTAGAGATTGAAAGTCAA